GCATGGGGGTTTGTGGGGACTCTCCAAATTCAGGCGTAAAATAAAGTGACCATCTGATTCAAATGAATTTTCCAATTATGTGTGGCTTTWACAGAAGCTATTGAAGTGTATTGTATATATCTGGCAGCTGGTCCTACTTGTTTGGAAAAAAAAAAAAAACCTAAAGCTTTGCATCTAATCCCTTGAGCAAACCAGTGGTAAATTGTTTATCGAACAAGTAGGAGAATTTTCCCATTCCAAATGTGCCCGGGAAGGGTAATTACCTGCACTTTCTGCGTGGGGCCGTCGGGACCCGTGAAACGGGTGTTTTTGCCTTGATTTGTGCCAGCAGGACGGGCCTTACCGCTGCTGCAAGGTCTGCAGAGCGCAAGGGGGTATTGGCAGGCCCCAAATATCTGCTAATCAGGGTTTGCTAGGTGTGATAACTGTCATTAGAGCCTGGCGTTTTTCCACGCTTCTCGCTTTTGACAACTGTAATTGATGCAATGAGAAACAATAAGCAAATGTTAGTATGTCCAGTGTACAAAAGTGTCTTGATTTGGATAGAAACCTTTTAATTGGAAGAGATTTTTGACTCCCCTATAAAATTACTTGTATTGGATAATATACTCTTTTTCTCCTCCTTGAAGATAAAGTTCAAACGGGAGGAAGATGCTTGCCTCTTCTCCCTGTCTTCATCATCTGTTCTGTGCATTTTGGGTCGTGTTCGCATCACGCAGTCAACAGTGTCTTCCCAGCAAATACACGGGTCAGTGTGCCAAAGGGCTTCCTGGTGCAGGGGAAAAAATACCAGCCAGGTGACTTCAGAACTGTTTTTATATGTATATATATATATATATATATATATATATATATATATGACGGAATCTTTGATTCCCCACATGGAAGTTAAGAGCAAGGTGGCCGTGTGCTGCACTGCACCCCTCCTTTGCGTCGCCGTCCCTCTCTGAGCAGCTGCCAAGCAGAGAAGCCACCAGCTCTTGGAGCCGAGGCACCGTTCTCCTCGGTGTCCTCTCCCAAGGCCAGTGCATGCAGCATGTTCAAGGACGTTAAGGCATATGTGTTAATTTTGACTACAGTGTTTTGTCTTTTGGCTTGGAAAGGCATCATAAGTCTTTAGACATCCTTCCTAACACGGATCCAGGGGGTCTCGCTTGGCCCGTGATCTTCCACAGCACTTTTCCCTTTGCAGTCCAGGTGACACAGGCTCAATACCCCTGAACTGTATATTCCAGACATTCACAAAAGGGAAAAAGTCATCAGTTTAAGCACTCTTAATTTCGGTTCATAATTTCTTCTGCCGCTCCTTGAGATGGAGGTGCCCGTTGTGTCCATGATGCTGCTTCCCAGGGCAAAGCAGGGAATGGCATTTCCCAGCCMACGACCTCGGGATTGCCTGTATGTGTCCAAGTTTGCTCAAACAGAATTGTGCTTTGGAGTCATCTAGTCTGTGCTCGCGGGCTGTTCTGGGTGGTTTTCTAAATATTTGTTGTGGATTGCTCCTGCAAAGAGATGCTCCTGTCTTTTTTATTATTTATTTTTGTTTTTATTTCCACATGTGCATTTTTTTCCAGAAAAAACATGTTCATTTTCTGTGCTTGCACTCTCCCTGGGAACATCTCAGGGTACCCAGTGCAGCCTTCCCCAAGGAAAAGGGGGGAAAAARGGACGTTGCAGCCAAGATCACGGCAGCCTTTGCAGGAGGTGTAGGACTCGCTGTAGGGCTCGCAGGACAGAGCTAGCCTGGGACAGCCCCGCGCTCCTTCCCCACGGCCTCTGCTCACCGCAGCACCAGGATGGCCCCAGGTGAACCTGGCTCCGCTGTTCCTATCCAGGCTCTCTGCGCTGCTCAACGGGGCTCGCTTGCCTTGTGCCACCACGRGGGTCATCTACAAATCGCTGGAAAGCCGCCCGGATACCGGAGCACCCGGAGCTGGTGGGACACGAGGGCGCTGCTGGAGCCGCTGCAGCGCTCCCGGCCTCCGTGCCCTCGCTACCTACGGGGCAACACGCACGGCGTGCAAAGCAAATTAGCTCAAGGGAAATTAATAAATTAAGTTTGGGAGCTTCCAAGCTGCCTCGCAATGCATCTATCTCATGCAAACCACATCTCGTGCATTGGTGAATGTCTATACGAGAGCAGCGGGCAGTGGGACACAGAGAGATGTGGACACAGCTATGGTGGGAAGACTTTGCCCGCTTCCATTTCCGTTTGAAAACACAGGAAAAATGCTTTTTCAACAAATTCTCGAGGAAATCAAATTAAATTTTACTACTCTTTATACCTGCTTATGCCTAAGAATAATTTCCATTTTGGTAAGCTCTCAATTTCCCAGCTAAAGAACCAGGTTTGTTTAAAGAATCCATCTCTCTTCCCAGCTAGAGCTTGCATTTTTATGGAGCCCCATGATGTGTGTTTTAGACCGAGTTCCTCCTTTTTGACTGCAGCCGAGATAAAGAATTACTAGTTTAAAACAATAACTACATGTTCCACTGTGATCAAGGAATTAGATAATCTGGCATGTTTGCTTAAGGGGTCTGTATCTTGGGGCTTTTATAGGGCAGTATTAAAGCCCTGAGCCTTCTTATTATGCCAATACCCAGAAGATTGCTTTAATGAGAAGTAAAGGGCCTTTTTCCAATTACAAGGGAATAACTGTATTAAGTTCCTGTGTTATGTCAACCTGCTTTGATTTGATTACTGCGAAAGAAATGGATTTATCTGTCAGTGTTACTTAATTAAGCCTTCTCATTGATGTTTTGCAGAGTAATATAGTGTAGTTTGCACATTTAAGTCTAAATACAAAGAAAATTGGTGGAAAGCTAAGACACGACCCCTGAAGATAAGGTACAAGAGTCATTGCTTTTCATTTTCCCATTTGAACCTGGCTTTGGTGGAAGAACTTGAGCATCACGTAGGCTCCAGGTAGCCTAAAGGGGAGGACGAGGACTTTTCAGGTCCATTCGAGGCTGCTAAAATTTTTGCAACCTGGGCGAATCAGCTCCTTTTTCACACAAGCAGTGTGCCTGTCTATGCAGGGGCAATGGGGAGCAATGGGTTGGTGCATGGATGGGGACAACGGGGAGCAATGGGCTGGTGCATGGACGGGTGCAGCCCGTCCAAGGTTTGGGGAGAGCGGGAGCCGGCGCTCGCACGGTGCAAAGCGAGCGCCACATCCATGCACGAGGAGATGCCTGGTTGCTGTTGGAGCTGCCTCCGTGGCSATGTGTGCACCTCAATGCGGGTCTGCCTCTCGCGGGCCTTGCCTCAAGGATTCACACGGGTTTTGGAAGCTGCGAGGGCGGAGTGATGGCCATCAAAGCCAGGAGGGAAACACGGCCCCTTAGCCAGCTGTGGCCTGGGCTCGGAAGAGTTAATTGCCTGTTACATAACACAAATGATTTTTAAAAATATGCCTAATTAACCTAATAGAATGGTTGATCTGATCTGTCAGGTAAATGATACACATTTTCTTTCTTTTTCTGGGGCTTAATTAAATATTTACCTGYGAGTGTCTGGTGCGATTAACACGTTCATCTGTTACGGAGGCGCGCGGCGCTGCGGCGAGGGGCGCCGCTGACGTGCAGCGCGGCGCCGTGGCCGTGCGGAGCGCCCGCGCCGCGCGCTTCGGCGCCCGCTTCATTGCAGCGAGGCTGAAGCTGCTCTTGGTTCGTGGTGAACAGCGAGCAGCAGTATTTCACTGAGCTGCTCTGGGATGCACACGGGTGTGAGTTGGGAAATAGCACTTAAATGCCTCAAAATGGTGATTCAGATGGATGGCAAGCCAATCATGATGCCATGAGTACCCCGGTAGGGTCTCATCCATGAGCTGCTGGAGGATGTGCTTAGTGGTCATTGTAGAGTCATGGAATTGCTAGGGTTGGAAAAGACCTTCAAGATCATCAGGTCCAACCGTGGCCTTGTTTGCTGGAGTTTGCCCCAGAGCGAGCGCAGTTTGGGTGGTTGCTCTCATGGTTGGGCTGTTCGGACCGTGTTGCTCTTGTGGTTGGGTGGCTGGCATGTGATGCTGCAGGAGATAGAGGATGCACTGATGGACCTGAGCTCATGGAACGGCTCATGGATCTCAACAGCTTCTGCAGGAGGTCAAGGGGACCGGTGGCACGTGGCCTTGTGGCTGTCCCAGCCTGGCACTTGTGCAGGGGTCCACATCCAACGCAGCATGACGTGGTACCAGGAGGCCTTAAGAGCAATGGGGGAACTTGATGSAAGGGGGGTTGTTTCTTTGGGAGAGACTCAGGGAGAGTGCAATCAAATGGCTTTTGTTTATTCCCTTGCAAAATCCTGGGAACTGTGGAGCAGTCACGTGCAAAGTGTGGTCCTGGCCTCATCTCTGTTGAGGGAAGTTTGAAGGTAGCTGGGTAGGTAGCACCTTTCATGGCCATTCCTGGAGACGCCCCCTCAAACGGAGCGGGGAACGGGCACAGCATCCCAGGCCGAACCGTGCAGAATTACCGGGAGATTGTGCTGAATTTGCTATCCAGGGATAGGGGAAAAATAGAAACTTCCSCGCCGTGCTTAGCTGTGAGGAGGTGCTGCCCTGCTCCTCGCTGCGACCCGCGCACCCGCCTCAACGCTTCTGCAAAATGGGAGCCTCCAYGAAGCAAAGCGAGTTCCGCTTGCCCCAGGATCCTGCCTTCTGCTCCCAAGCTTTCCCGCTCGGCTGGGTGGCTCCGTGCCCGTCGGGATCCCGCGTCCGTGCGGATGCTGGGCRCGGGGTGCGCAGCCGCTGCCCAACACGGCGCCGCCGGAGGAGCTGTTCTGTTGCAAGCTCAGGTTCCTGAGGGTCCAGTTCATTTCTGCTGTGAATTTAAATGAGTTAATTTAAGCAGTGGGTCAGAAGCCACTACCATCCGAGTAGCCCTGTGCCTGATTCTTAATTAAAGGCAACAGGAGATTAATTTGAAACATTAATTTAAAAGTGCCTATACAAAAGGAAAGAATTATTGCAATAAAGCCTAAAGAACTTTTTTGTCCCTAGATGTAGAAGACAGAACTAGCTCAGGGTCCTGGGGGAATACAGGACATCCTAGTCCATCCAGGGTAAGTATATCTAATCTTTTTCCCCAAACCAGACTTCCTCAATATGTAAATTTACAATCTGAAACACTAGTTTTACACCTGATTGCATAAAAATACGGGCATGCCGAGCTGGCTGCAGCCTGCCCTCTCTTCCAAATTGCTTTTTATGGTATTTCCCGTATGTGTGTGCTTGTTGAAGCGCCGGGGCCGGCCCCGTGGCCGTGTTYGGCACCCCGGCCGCGCGGGCAGGGCGCTGGGTGCTCGGCTCCGCTCCAGCCCTGCTGCTCGGGGCCGAGCCCGAGTGCCGCGGCTCGCAGCGCCCGCACACAACGTGCGAATAAACCCGGCCGTGCCCGCGCTGGCCGCGAAGCGCCCTTGCACGCCTGCGCTTAGGGCCGGCTTAAATTGCCTTTTAATTGATTCCTAGCCAACGGGGAGGATGCAGCCCCGGGTCGGCGCCCAGCAGGTCCCCATGAGGAGGTGYGGGGAGGTCCCCGTGCTCCCGCTGCCCGTCCCGGTGCCCCGGGGCCATCCCAGCAGGTCCCGGCCGGTCCCGCCTGCTTAGCATCCATTACGTCATTACCTCCCGCATCTGCCCGCTTTATTTTTACCCCTTTTTCTGAGCTTGACACTTGTATTGCTTTCYGGGGAAAAATGTTTTGAAAAGTAAATTCTAAATTTGCACACACGATTATTTATGCATGCAAAAGCTTGAATGTGAGCGTACAATTGCGTTTTGGGGTATAAAGGAAGGAGCACGAGCCCGGGAAGAGTCCTGAAGTTTCAATCAAGCCTGTGCATTAACCGGCGCAGTTGCTCCGCAAGCCGCTTGACCTCTCTGCATTTCCTGCTTTGTGGAATGACGATGGTATTTCCACATCGGCGGAATTAGTTTCTTGTGAATTCTTCTGGGCAGAAGAAAGAAAACATTATGTAACTGCTGTGCATGGCTGAGGCTTGCAGTAAAACTTGAGATTCTGCTCAACTAGCGACTGAGCGCAGGGGACGTTGGAAAATTAGGGAGCAACAAAGTCCTGCCGGGAGAGGGGATGAAATGCCACCTCCGGGGAGAAAAGGGGCAGGAGATATTCATTAGTGCCTTACCCAATTGCATGCATAAATACTAGTGCCGTAGAGGGTTATTTTCCAGTRGAAAGTGACTTTCCACACCCAAACAGCACGAAAACAAATTTTTGGAAATTTGGAGAATCCCCTAATGCATCAACGCGGTGATCCAGACAGCAAATTTATACCTGCAAACCAGATGTAAAAGCAAAGCATGMACAGTAAGGTTTCCTTTCTGTGGCCAGCAAGGCTAAGGGGAGGTTTCTTGCTGAACCGCACGACACAAAACCCCGTTTCCAGGCCCGGATTATCCCCCCGCCAGCCCAGAGCCAGCTGCTAATGAGACAGAGCCTCGGAGCAGCGCTCGGGAGCGCTCGGGAGCGCGCGGCTCCCGCAGCGCCGGAGCCAGAGCCGGAGCAGGGAGCGCTGCTCGTGCCGGGCCCCCGGGCGCAGCGGGGCGCGGGGCACCCTTGTAAACGCTGTGTTTCTCCCCGTTTGTCAACAGAACTATGGTGACGGGACGCACTATGACCACGCGGCGAGCAGAGACCTTGGCTCTCATGACAATCTCTCTCCTCCTTTTGTCAATTCCCGAATACAAAGTAAGGAACTGCCTTTCCTTCCTCGCGTGCGGCTTCGGGAGCAGAGCGGGACGCGGCGCGGCGCGGTCCCCAGGCGCTCCCGGGTGCTCAGCTGCTTGGGAAGCAGCGGCCCCGTGCTCAGACAGACTCTGCGCGCGTGTACGAGCAAGCAACATTTTGGGGAGAAAGTGCGATATTTGCTGCAAGAGACAGTCCTACTTTTGCTGAAGCCCATTTCTCCTCCACATCTTTGTACCTCTCTGTGCGCCTTCTCCGAGACGGGACCCGTTGGTAGAGTAAATGGGAGCGTGGTCTGGATGAGGTATTTTGGGTGGCACAGGATGGCTGGAGGTGCAGACGTGCGCGGGGAGCCCGCGGTGGGGGCCCTTGCCCAAGGTTGCCCCCAATAGCCCCTTGGCTCAGCAGCCGACACCGTGGCTGCGCGCACAGGGGCCCTGATCATTCCTGGAGCGAGTGACGGCTGCTTGCTTTAATTAGGGTCGATAAACGAGTTCTGGTTAAAGTAAATATATGATGCAAGGCTATTATTAGTAATGCCTGCGCGGGGCCAGGATCGCGCCCTGGCGCTGCGGCCGCCGGCCCTGCGCGAGCGGCTCTGCTCGCTCCTGCTCCCCGCGCGGCACTCGGGACCCCTCATTTCCTTGCCCCAGGGGTATTTGGGTGCTGCTCAGCCAGGGGATGGCGCTGGGGCTTGCAGGAGGTGCTTGCAGATCCCCCAGACCTCTGTGGACCCCCCTGTACAGCCCGGTGTCTCCTGGGTCCTCCTGGGGCTGCATTTTTGACCCTTTGAAGCCTCCTGATGCTCTGGGGTTTGCAAATAAACCTGGTCTTGGGCATCCCTGGTCCACAGTGCCTTTGCACTGGTAGACCTGTTGGCTGGGGATGGAGCTGCTGTGTATATAGGGCTGCCTGTTGCCTCTGGATTTATAGCTTTGGAGCAGCACAAGTTTCTATACTGATTAAATATCTCCTAGCAGTCTTCACATTATTATTATGAATGCTTAAAGCAGGGCTGGCCTGGGTAGCTACGTGGTGAATATTGCCCGTTTTGCAGGCACGAGTCAGAGGGACAGTGTGTTTGGGCTCATGGGCTTGTCTTCTCCAGCAGGAGCGGGAGGCACCTGAGGAAGCTCCTGCAGCCCGTGTCCGGTCGGGATGTCCCTGCTCCTGGAGCAGCTCCCAGCTGCCTTGGCTTTTGGGAACCCCACATCTGTCCTGGTTAAACCTGTGTGTGCCCCGGCCTTGGCTGATGGGGCTGGTGTGGCAGCTCTCGCTTTCTCGTGGTCGGAGTCCTGATTTAATGATCCATGCTGGGAAAAGTACGGCCCCTAATCTGTGAAGCGGTTGAAGGCAGGCTGGACAACGGCAGCGCTGCTGTTGCTTTGGGGCTCGCTAGAAGACTTGCAGGCACCGAACTGCATCTCCAGCTCTGCAGCAGCGCCCAATGCAAAGAATGAGCAAAAAAACAAAATGCAAAACCTTGGCTGGGCTTGTTTTCCCTTTCCGTGGCTCCGAGRGGGTCGGGTCGAGCGGGGCGCCGCATCCTCTCCTTGCGCAGCAATGCCCGGCCGTGGTCCCTGCAGCTCCCTCGCCCTCCCTCCACATTCCCTGGGGACACCTCAGCAGAGGCGCCAGCTCTAGGCGCTGTGTGTAGCGCGGTGACCGCGCTGGGTCCGTGCGTGTGCCGCCGCGGGGCTCGTTGCAGGGCGCCGCGCTCCGGTTCGCGCTCCAGTTCGGTGCCGCTGTCCCGGCAGCGGTGCAGTTTGGGTGGGGGGCCCCGCGCTGCACGGCCCGGCGCGCGCGGCTGGACCAGGAGCATCCGCGGGAGACTTTCCATGCCCGGCATCTGCCTCAGCCGCTGTTTGCTCAACCTTCGGCAGAAATGATTTCAGCCTTTCCTAAAGCGAGATTGCATTTCGCCCTGGCAGATCCCGCGTTTGCCGGTGAGTGCCCGGCCTGTCCCGGCCATTAATCCCTGTTCACACCACGCTGTTATCTCAGGTGGCTTTCGCAGCTGCACAGGCTTGAAGAGCAATGAGGGAAAGAGCAAACACAAACCTGTCCCGTCATCTCCAGTTGTAGATTGGTGTCCCCAAAGGTGATGATTGCACTTATTCATGCACGGGATGGTTTTTATGTGCTGGCATCGCCGTTCCCAGTGTGTCTTGTTGGGTACAAGGTGGCACATGCCGTAGCCACCAACACATCGGCCACTCTGCTCTTATAGATCCCTGCAGCCTTCCCAGAGCAACAAAATCCATCAGCATTTACAGGAGGCAACCGACCTCCTCTGGAGCTGGCAGCTTGGAGTTGGGATACAGATTAAGACGGGACTTTATTACATTTGCRAAAGAAAGTAGCATGTGACACAGAAAAAGAAATGTGGCAGTTTTTTTAAATATCAGTCAAAGGTGAAGCTTCAAGAATGACAAGCAGAACTGTTTTCCATAAAAATCTGTGACTGTCTGGCTATCCATAACATTAACTAAGATGAGCTGTAACAACACAAAGCCTGAATGCAGCAACTGAACAACCGAGAAAGGGTTTGAGAGCTCAAAGGGCTGGAAAGCCCAAGCCCTGCTTTTGTTCCAGGTGTTTCTGGCGGTGCAGCTCCAGGGCACCTGCGCTTCTGGGAGGAAGCCGTGGGCGGACGGGCTGTGACGGGATGGAGCTTCCATGAGCGGAATAGCGTGAGGCTGTCGGGTAGTGTCCCATTGCTAAGCGCTCAGAAATTTCCCTTCCACGTGGAGGACGTTTAGGACGATCTGAACGCACGTTTCCCCATAGGGATGATCCATCCTTGTGGACACAGCCTGGGTTCAGGTGAAGYGTGGCCAGGGAGGGGAGGTGGACCCTCTACCGTGGTTCCTCCTGGATTCAGATTTGACAAATGCGGAAGGAAACAGCTGTGTGGCACGGTTAGGCTGTGAGAAGACCTTTGGCATCTCTGGTGCTCATGGGTGGGAAACGTGCTGAGAACATGCAGCATTGCTGCTTTTGTGCATCTCCGCCATGGTCTGGAGAAAAGAGGTCCCACCAGCACACGGGCTTCCTAGTGACAGCACTCAGCGGGTTACAGCAGAGGTGGGAGCTCCTGGGGCTTTAGGAGAAGCTCTGGAAACCTGGATTCAGCTGCCGAGTTGGAGTTGTGGCTAGTGCTAGGAGAGTGGAACCCACCGAGCTCATCCCGGCCCCGGTGTCGGGATGATGCTCCCTGTAGAGACCGGCCCTGCAGCCTCGGTTTGTTCCTCCAGGCCCCTCGTGGACCTCTGCTGAGGTTACTGGAATATCTGAGACAGGGTTTTCAAATATCACTTCAGTCCGGTAAGAGCTATCTGTTGATTTTTTTTCCCAAATCCAGATTTTTTTCACCAACTCAAATCTCTCACTTAGCAAAGTCCAAGTGCACCCCTGAAATCTCTGAGCGCAGGTCACCAAAAACATATCTCCAATAATCAAACAAGAAAACTGCAACTAGGGTCAGTCTGTTCTGTTCCCGAATGGACCTACACCTTATCTAAATCTGAAGCAGCGCTCAGCGAGGGGCTTGGGCTACGTCATCTCCAGAGGTGCCTCTAGCTTCATCCATTCTGTGGTCCATGATCCACCCCACTAGCAAGAGCTGCAGCAGATTTCTCCTAGGCTTCTCTTCTAGATGAGTTTCCTCACAACCAAGCMGAGGAGCTTCTGGATGACCCTGAGCAATGGGCTTGGCTTAATCRCATCCATGCCATTTCCTGGCCAGAGGGGCCTGGAAAGAGGCCTCCAAAGCGCTCTGTAGAAGACACTCTTCCTCTCCTGTGATGTGACTGCTGCTCCTCTCCTGCCCCAGTTGCAAGTGTGTAAAATTAATGGGAAAAATCTGCACCAGAAAGCACTTCGCAGATGTGGATATAACTACGTYGCCTTTCCCAACACGGAGTTAATGTAGTTTGCAGCCAATCTCCTGCACGTTGCYGGTTGGGATCCTGGATGTTCAACCCCAGCCTCTCGTGCACTCTTGAAGGGAAGAAATTACAAGGACATTTCCATTTATTTGGGGAACGAGCGGCAGTTGTATAAATAGAAACTGTAGACTGTGGCAATTAATGTCTGCCTACTGAGCAAAGAACTGAAATATTATTTTGTACTACATAGTTTGCAGGGAAGTTTACATTCCACCGCGTTTTGTTCTTAAACAAGTCCAAGCGTTTTTAATAAGTGATTCTGCAGGACAGTTGGCTTCTGCGCAGCGTGGCAGAATTTGATTATCCACACTGCTTCTGACAACTTCTGCAGGGGCTTCTCTCTTCTTGTCCCTCATCTTCAGCCCCTAGTTGCACTCTGGAGTCTGCACGTTTGGTTGGATGGACAGAACATATCCAGTCAAATATAGAACTGTTGCAATGAAAATCATAAAAAGGATGGGGCAGGAGGGTCCGGTAATTCTCAACAGCACCACGCCAAGAGATGCATCTTGCCATGTGCTTTGGATTAAGGGCAGCACTGATTATCACACTGTACAAGGCTGATGGTAGAGCAGGGCCATGCTTTGATCCTTGTACCATGCGAAGTAAAAAGATATGGAGCATGCATTTAACAGGAACCATCAGGGCTTTAATTAGGTTCTATTTCTTTTTAACCAAAATCAGAATGCCCCAATCCATTTCTTCATTCTGCAAACTTTTACTATGTGATTGTGGTCCTGAACATAGTCGGCGGTTGTAAAAAGTATATAGAATAAGAACTGATATGGAAAGATATTTTGGGGACAAACCATGCAGGCTAAATATCAAGAAGATAAGAAGAATATACAAGAAGAAATTAGGAAGAAGAGTGGTATTGTATATATGTTTGTGAAGCATCTGGTGAAAGCAATGTTTTGATTATTTTGGGGATGAAAAAGCTGTGTAAATAGTTGAGCAAGCATTTAGTCAATGGTATTTTAAAATTATGTTGATTAAATACCTTTTAATTAGGATACCTATATCAAAATGTTCATACCTTTCCTATGATATATA